CATGAAGCAGGAATCAGTTTCATGAAACTCAGTTTGTGAAACGGTTTTGACGACATGGCAACATTGCGGCGAGGAATGAAATGTGGCAACCATGTTTAGTCGCTATCCTTCCCTTTCAGCTTTCTTTCTCTCTTACGTCACATTTTTACCGATACCCGTGATAACAGAAACATATGCGTTGTGCCACCTGACGGTCGAAAATGTTTTTATTTTGGTTTGGCTAATGTCCGTTCGCACAACTGTAGCGCGACGATCAACTCGGAGTGCTGGCTGATCTGACCCGCGCCCTTAAAAATATACTTCCGTGAATCCACGCAGAAAATCCAACACGAGTAAATTACACGCTCGCAAATGAAACCCGCTTAATATAATAATATGTAATAATATAGCGATAATCCGCTTAACGCTTTAGGTATCGCAATTGTGTACTCACCTTTCGCAGCTTCTCCAGCTCGCTGATATCCGCGGGTGATTTGACCGCCTGGGAAAGTAAACGGAATCGTTAGCTATCACGAATGCGATCGAGATTTCGCTGAAACGTTTCTTTCACGCGAAATTGCACACATTATTTCTTTTCTTTTTTCTTTCTTTCTCGCGGACGTACATTTTCGTGTTTAGGTTTGTTCCGATTGCACCGAATAGACAAAAAAGAAAAGAAAAAAACGGTTTCGGTTTCCAACGGGAACCGAAAGTCTTATTGTTAGTAGTATTATTATTAGTATACTACAATTATTATATAAATATTAATACTACAAAGTATTATTATTCTATATTATTATTAGTATACTACAAATATTATACTACAAAGTATTATTATTCGCGAATAATAATAACGCCAATCGATGTTTTTCAGTGTAACGGAACACGTCGGGTGACCGTTATTAAATATGAATTCGCGACGTTGTGAAACAACCGTGCTAATTTGGCTTATAAACGGAATACGGTTGTCTGAATTTTGTAAATTCTCTGGGGCCAACGAACTATTTCGAACGATCAAAGATAATTCCAATGACACGAATTAAGAGGTACACATCGCGATTCTGTTTACCTCGATCTGTTTCCGCGGGTTTTTGTTGCTCTTGCCGGCAACGCGGTCGTCAGTCGGAATCGCTCCGTTCCCGAAATTCACCAGCGAGAAGTAATTGTTGCCGTTGTTCCCGCTCAGTTCTGGTTCCTCGACGATCGTGTTAACGTGCAGCTCGTGATCGAGGGATTTGGAGTCACGGCTGCACGCTGTGGCACTGCTGCTCACGAAGGCTCTTGCGAAGCTGCTCTTGAAAAAGTGTCCCTGTGACACCTCACTGCCAAGAGCGAACTCCACCTTCGGTGAGTCGCCCATAATTCCCGCCACAGAGGATACCCCCGTTCGCAAAAGCTGTCCGGGCTTTCAGCACAGAACGGGGCTAGTTAATTCGCCAGGCGTGCAACCTGGAGATTAGACGACCGGCGAGGATGAACGACGGATTTTGTGGATCCGACGGAAACCTGACAGGAACGCAGTGTTCCGCGCGACGAGAAAACAGTCTCGCGGTTCTTTCTTGTTTCCGTGTTTTTCACGTTTTCACGAAGATCTTGGAACTACAAAGCTCGCGGACACTAAACGTTGCGAAGAAACTACGTTGAAAACGCAAGACCACCGGTGGTCTCGCTTAGGAAACTCGATGAAGACTGATGCGAATTTGGTTGGAACGGAGAAACGTTAACCCGGACAAAGTTATGTCAAGGCTATATATGAAGGCTGCAGCGCACAGGACCACACTGCACGCCACTGCGTGTCCAACTGTGCTGACTACGGCCACCGCTCGCGAACCGATGTCCGAAGTACAGAGAATAGCGGACTGCGCGTGCGCGTTACTACGCGCCGACTCTCCGCGCAAGCGTGGCGGTTGATTCGAATCGTTTAAACGAAAGGAAAAATATTTGTAATTTAATAACAATTTTGAGGAAGAACATTACTCGATAACCACTATATCGTAATATCGCTTGGACTCTTTTCATTCAGAAAACGTATTGGACGAATTAAGAATATGTTTTAATCTGATCTTTTGACTGGTAATTTGAAGAATTGTGAAACTGCGCGCGTGCGCGGTCCTACGCACTGATTCTTGGTTCGAGCGTGGCGGTTGATTCGAATTGTTCGAACAAGAAAGAAAAGCTACTAGAAATAAACATTTTTGTGATTTCAAAAATACTGTTAATCGTAACTTTCATTACCACGATATTGCTCAATAAGCAGTATTGTCTAAGATAACTCGTTTTTCTCTGGTTCAAGTTTGAAACGGATTATAAATAATGTTTAATCTAATTTGGTGTTTAGTCTGATATTTTTCAGAATTCTGAAAGTATCTGGATTTCATTTTATCACGACATTTAATGATAACGATACTTATTGTAATTGTCAATAGATGACACCAAGCTTCGAAAATCCTTCGACGAGAGTCTCTACTCTGTGTGATACACATTTCGTGACTATAGTTCTGCATCTGAAGAATTCACCGAAATAATATTTTTATAGTGTAAAAGATACAACACGACGCTCCTATTAAATCAGTTCATGACAATATATAAATAATTCAGTTTGATCATGTAGAATACACTATTGCTCTGTCATTTAACGATAAAGAATACTACAAATAAGTAGCCATATCGACACATTTCTCGAAGTTATTATAACCTGAGTTTATCGGTGAAAGGTTTTTAATTAACTGTACAATGCCACGACTACCACTGCATCATGCTTCGGGGACTGGTGTAACAATTCATTTTGCTAAATCTATACGTTTAGTTCGTTATGGATGCACAAATAGACCATTCTATCACATTGTCGTAATGAGTGTAAGTTGATACTATTTGAGCCACTAAGAGAGTGTACATATAATTATAATCTTTATATAAACAGAAATTCTACCTTAATAGTATATCTTTTTGTCATACACTTACACACGTAAGAATATATACATAATATATAAATATTGTAAAATCTAATAAATATTCCATAAACATATGAGTAAACAAAAATTTGTTCATAATTTTCACTCAAGTAATAGAACGAATGGCATTTTTTGTAGACAAAGCTTGGACAACATAAACCACCAACAGAACAACTTGGCAGTTATGATCCTATGAAAAACAAATTTAATGAAAAATTAGTTGCCCTTAATTTTGAACGTATACAATATTGGTTAGGACTTGGCGCTACTATTTCAAATCCCGTTGCTGAACTTCTTGGATTAGCTGGTTTTTATCCAGTCCATCCCAGGACATATATGCATGCATGGAGAAATCTACGAACTGCTCAAGAAGCTGCTAAAAAAGCAAAAGAGGAACCTGCAGAGGCTGTAGAGTCAGCAGGTTAACATTCTGTTCCTGTTTTATTTGTATTTCACTTACATCTTGTAAATAATATGCACACATTAATAAAGTTACTATAAAAGACACACTGGCTTCACTTTGTTCAATACAGAAAATGATACTATAGCGTTTGTAGTCATAAAAAGATGTTAAATATATTTGAAATAATTCAAAAGTGTATATTTCAAGTGTAAAGTAATTTACAATTGAACACGTTTTAATTTTTCGTAAAATACATTTATATATGTAGCAACATTCTTGGAATACATACTAATTGAAATGTATTTAAGATAAAAATTTAAAAAAATATTCCCCAGGTGAGGCTCGAACTCACAACCCCGGCATTGCTCACAGTTATACTGTCTTATAAGTACCGTGCGCTAACCGATTGCGCCACTGGGGAGTTGTAGTTTCCTCTTCCTTATTTGGCTATATAAGCGTACATATGAAAAACCTCTATAAAAATAATAATTAGTTAGAAAATATTCTTCTATACAAGTTTTCAAGCATAATAATACAATAAGGAAATTATTTTTTTAATTTTATACACTAGAACATAATCTACAACCATTTTTTTAGATGAAGTACTTAAACAAAATGTAATTTCTAAAGTTAATCATTATTTTTCAAATATTTTCAACAAACTAAACAAAAAATGTTACTAAATATTTGAATTTTAAAAACTTCTAAATAATTTTTTAATCAAAATTTAAGGTTACCTACAAATGACTTTAAACTCAGAAATTTAGTAGTTGAAACATTTCTTTGACAGTTTATCAAAAAGAATAATATAAATGGCAGAGTCATATAATTTTATAAAAACTTATACATGCATGTATTATAATAGGCTTAAGAACATTTGAGAAAAAGTCTTGATTAACACTATTTTAGTTACACAAAATTTCTCTTTATTTCTTATTTGTGTATCAAACTATTGTTATTCCTTGGTAGTATCTTGCTGCAAATCATCTTCATTATTTTCGTACGAATC